ATAGTGTCCAGGGCCTGGCAAGTGTATCTGGTGTGTGCTGTGTACACTCTGCTACTGCGTTTCCACTGTTCTCTCCTTCAAGCAAGCCTCTGCAGAGGCTCTCTGCCTGCAGTGGGGATTGTTTGGACCTTGGCCAGTGTGTAGGGAGTTTTAACTAGGCATACTCTGGTGTACTTGTTAAGTGAGACCTGGTGCTACTTCCACTAGAATTGAAGCCTTGCTGAACTCTCTGGTCAGTATACGTTGTATGTGTGGGGGTTTCTATTGGTTTTCTGGGGCAGGGGCCTGTTGCACTGGGACTTATGCACAGTTGTAGGAGAAAAGTAGTTCCAACAGAGTGCAGGGTGTGTAGGACTTGGTGGAGCAGGGAAATGGCACCAGTCAGCCATCCTTTGTCTGTGGAGAGTGGTCTCTGTGCTGCTGTTCTCAGGGAAGCACTCCCAGAAGAGGGAATAATTTCTTCTTGTGCGTTGCAACCGTTTTTCAGATACGTGTTTTCATGCTGCCTCTGTGTTGCTTGCCTGCCTGGAGCAGTGCAGTGCACTTGGGCTCTATCCCAGCCAAGCCTGCTAACTTTTTTTTTTTTTTAAATGGTGCAGGACGGGCGCTTTATTTTTATTTTTTTTTAATTTTATTTTACTATGTTATGTTAATCACCATACAGTACATCATTAGTTCTTGATGTAGTGTTCCATGATTCATTGTTTGCATATAACACCCAATGCTCCATTCAATATGTGCCTTCTTTAATACCCATCACCAGGCTAACCCATACCCCCACCCACCTCCCCTGTAGAACCCTCAGTTTGTTTCTCAGCGTCCATGGTCTCTCATGGTTCGTCTCCCCCTCTGATTCCCCCCCTTCATTTTTCCCTTCCTACTGTTTTTTCTTTTTAACATATAATGTATTATTTGTTTTAGAGGTACAGGTATATGATTCATCAGTCTTACAGAATTCCCAGCACTCAGCATAGCACATACCCTCCCCATTGTCTATCACCCAGCCACCCCATCCCTCCCACCCCCCAAATGTAGTGATCCGAAGGGGTATGTGCACCCCAATGTTTATAGCAGCAATGTCCTCAATAGCCAAACTATGGAAAGAGCCAAGATGTCCATCAACAGATGAATGGATAAAGAAGATTTGGTCTATATATACAATGGAATATTACACAGCCAGGGGCACCTGGGTGGCTCAGTTGGTTAAGCGACTGCCTTCGGCTCAGGTCATGATCCTGGAGTCCTTGGATTGAGTCCCGCATCGGGCTCCCTGCTCGGCGGAGAGTCTGCTTCTCCCTCTGACCCTCCTCCCTCTCATGCTCTCTGTCTCTTATTCTCTCTCTGAAATAAATAAATAAAATCTTTAAAAAAAAAAAAAGGAATATTTCGCAGCCATCAAATAAACCGAAATCTTGCCATTTGCAACGACATAGATGGAACTAGAGGGTATTATGTTAAGCGAAATAAGTCAGAGAAAGACATGTAACATATGATCTCACTGATATGAGGAATTCTTAATCTCAGGAAACAAACTAAGGGTTGCTGGAGTGGTGGGGAGTGGTAGGGATGGGGTTGCTGGGTGATAGACATTGGGGAGAGTATGTGCTATGGTGAGCGCTGTCCAAAATCTATAAAGAACGTAACAAACTCCACACCCAAAGAACAAAGAATCCAATCAAGAAATGGGCAGAAGACATGAACAGACATTTTTCCAAAGACATCCAAATGGCGAACAGACACTTGAAAAAGTGCTCAACATCGCTCGGCATCAGGGAAATCCGAATCAAAACCTCAATGAGATACCACCTCACACCAGTCAGAATGGCTAAAATTAACAAGTCACGAAACAACAGATGTTGGCGAGGGTGCGGAGAAAGGGGAACCTTCCTACACTGTTGGTGGGAATGCAAGCTGGTGCAGCCACTCTGGAAAACAGTATGGAGGTTCTTCAAAAAGTTGAAAATAGAGCTACCGTAGGACCCAGCAATTGCACTACTAGGTATTTACCCCAAGCCTGCTAACTTTTAAAACTCCAAACTTTAGGGAAGTGCTGTGGCGGGGGCCTGCACTGGTCTTTTGTGGGAGCGTCTCACTGCATTGGGACAGATGCAGATTTGAACAAGAAGTTTTAGAGAACTAAAACGAAAGCATGGTGGTATTTCTAGTTTCGTGTTGAGTGATGTCAGACTTGTGAATTTCAGATATCTTTGTTTCAGTGGTACTGATTGTGACTAGCACTCTGTTCCCCAAACTTTTTCAAGTGTTACTGTTTTATTCTATGAATTAAAGCTTATATTGCCCTAAGGCTTCTTTAATGCCAATCAAATCGAAGTATTATTGACAGCAGAGAAATTGTGATGGAAAATACATTTCATCATCTTTAAGACCATTAAGACTTTAAGCAGTTGCTAAATGAAGTAAAAGGAGCTTAGTTTATAAAAGTTAGAGCCAAGGTTTAAAAAATTTTGAGTCAGTTTTAATATTACATGATGCCAATGGGTAATATTTTCACTTCTGATATATCTTCTGCAATCTTAGTAATAGTTTTTGATTTGTATTAATAAGTGTAATGCTTTTAGGAAAGCACCTGCCCCATTTGATGTAGTTTGTAGTCATTTTTAGCATTTATTGAGCAAGTTAATTTTGTGGAGAAGAATTAAAGTCACATAATACATTTAAAGTAATTATTGCTAGGTATCTCTATTGCCACTTTGTTCATTGTTTTGTGGTTGTCGTGTAGTTCTTTTCCCTCTCTTGCTTTCTTACTTTCTTCGTGATTGATGAGTTTCTGTAGTGTTATGTTTGGCTTTCTTTCTCCTAATTTTTGTTGTATCTATTATAGTTTTTGGGTTTGTGGTTACCATGAGGTTCATATATAACTTCCTAAATAAGTAGTAGTCTATATTACTTTAATCATAACAGGAAAAGCAGGAAGTGTGGGGAGAAAAAAAAAATAGTTTATACCTTAAATTTTTAGGTCAATTAATAATGTAGCATCTAATCAGAATCCGTGTTCAGACATTAGAATTCACATTATGAATGTTTTAGTATTTCTTTCTAAGAATTGTTTTTTGCTTTTTTACATTATTTTTTATTTTTATTTTATTTTGTAAATAAAGATTTTATTATTTGAGAGAGAGAGCATGATTGGGGGGAGGAGCAAAGGAAGAGGGAGAAGTAGACTTCCCACTGAGCAGGGAGCTGGACAAGGGGCTTGATCCCAGGACCCCAGGATCATGACCTGAGCCGAAGGCAGATGCTTAACCAGCTGAGCCACCCAGGCACTCCTCTTTCTAAGAATTGTTATAAAATTCATTAAGTGTAAGGTGATAATCTGACTTGACTACTAGAAATTTTTGGTGGCACTCCCTGAACCAAACTATGATAATATTGTTACAAAACATAAGGATGTAATTACTCCAGTATATATTTCTTTTATATATCCTGTTAAATGGAACCAGTAGTCTACCCTTAAGATATTAAAAATATACTTTTATTTATATTCATGTTCATCTGCTTTTTCTCTAGTACACATTAATTGAATAGGAAGAACTGAAAAATTGAGAACTTTGGCCTGGGTATTGGTATTTTATGAGACAGGACAGTTTCTCTGAAGTTTTATCAGGAATTTCTGCCTTTGTAGTTATATACCCCATTTAATTCAGCAACTACCTAGGGAGTTTAAACTTCCCAGCAAAGTTATATGGCATTTCAAAAATTTTAGTTAATTAGGAATAATTTTGTTGTGAAGGTTATTATACCTTTTGAAATGATTAGTACCATACGTCCTACTATATCCCAGAATCAATAGGAATCATTGTTACAATCATGTAAAAACTATTCTCAAATAAAATAGAAACCCTCTTAGAATATCACTTTTTTTGGTGGACCTGAAAAAAAAATACTACAAAATTTTATTTTAGCTCAGATGGTTATTAAGAGTCCTCAATTTATGCTTAGAATGGAATTTTAATAATGAGCATCCACTTCTGACGTCAACTTCCATGATAAGCTTTGAACGGTCTTCCTGGGGTTTAAAAAAAAAGTCTACTGGTCTAAACTTTCAGAAAAGAAGTGAGTATACTTTTCTACTGGCTTTTTAGGGGAAAGAATTTCTCAGTACTTATACTGTTCTCTAATATATTTTTTCTGTTATTATTTTATCCTACCCCAAGCCCTTTCCTGGATCATAAGAATTTCTCCCATTTAGGGATCCCCTTAGTCCTTTTTTTCAGTACACAGAACTTTTTGTCCTTCCTTTATATTTGTGTGTTGGGCTTTAGCAATTCTAAGTGTATTAGGCTACCGTACTTTACTCCTATGAAGGGCCTTTTTTGTTCATGATATTCTCTAATGCAAACATTCTCCAAGGCCAGGCCCCATGAATCTGTAAATGGAAAAAGGAAGTGATTTGGGATTTCTGAAAATACTATATACTGCTTTAATTTGTGCCATCTTATGGACTTTCAAGTATAAGTATCACTCAAACCTAGCCAGCAGTGTTCCCCGAAAAGGTTTCTTAGAAAACCCTATAATGAATAGATATGTTAACTTATCAGTAAAGTTTATATAAATGGATTCTTCCATCTGAAGAATATGAAGTGTGTTCTCTAGGTAAATGCTCCATTTCAATCTTTTTTACATACTTCTACTTTGCTTAGCAGTCCTTTATCCAGCCTCTTTGGGAATGTTATAAGGATAAGTTAAGCTCTTTCTATGAATAAATGGTTTGCTAAGATTTTCTACTCTGCTAGTTTTACAAAATGAACCACCAACTGCTACTTCCTCTTGGGTCTTAGTGTGCTCTTTATTAGTTAACACATATTTTAGCTATTAACACATATAGCATATTGTTATGGTTTCTACATGTTCCCATCACTAGATTATAAATTCCTTAAAGGCAGGAGCCATGACTTGCTTAGCTCTCTGTTTCCCCTGGCACCAGTTTAGTGCCAAATGTGTGTAATAGGAACTCAAGATACATTTTTTTTTTTAAACAGATTTGGTTCATTTGACTTGTACATCTTCTAAAACAGCAAGAGAAGATTTAGAACCAGTTGTGCAGAAATTGTTTACTCCATATACTGAAACGGAGATAGGTAAGAATAATAATCAGCAATTCATGATGAAAAGGTAATATAACAACTTTACTCCTCTTAGATATCTCGTGAAGGTTTCTGCAACCTGGACTGAAATGTGATGTATTACACATTTTAGTAGCATGAAGGAGCACATTCTCTTCCTAAAAATGGGAAAATGTTCACTCTGTAATGGTAAAGGAAAAATATGTTTTACACACAGCATGTATAATTAGGTGCAAAAAATATACTTTTATATGCATACATACTCACATGTGTAGAAAAAAGACTGCCTGTAAATCTCTCAGTTTTGGTGGAATTATGGACAACTTTTTTTTTTTTCCTTTTAATTTTCTTCATTTTGCAGATATTACACAAAGAGTATACCTTTATCAGAAAAAGTTATCTTCATTTAAAAGAGAGCTGAGATAATATTACAATATTAATTGACAAATGTAGGAATCCCTCCTCTAATAATTGTCCTTTAATATATAGCTTGCTAGTGATGTGATAAATATTTAGCTCTCAAAATATATGTGCCACTGTACTACTTACTCATAGTGGAAAAATGTTTTTCAACCACAAAGTTTTAAATTTTTCTCCTCGTATCGTAGGGGAGCTCTTGTAGCTATGAATGGAGCAAATTATTTGTAGTGTATTTAGGGTGTAAGTGATCAAAAAGTAGCCTAATGGATATTATTCATTTATATGAAGCGAGGGTGATTTTCATTTTAGGGTTTGCATGTCCACTTGAATCATGACCAGTTTCCTCACTGAGTCATATATCTTTATTTCCTTTGGATGTTATGTTTGTTCAGGCAACCATTTATTTACTCCTACCTGTTGTATTTTCTTTTAGTTCATTTCCTATGTGTCTTATTTGTTTTCTTAATGCAGAGATAGTATGTCGTGGGGCATTTATATTTACATAAGGAAACTCCGTTTTAAGAACTAATATCAGTATAATTAGTTTCTTTTTCAGCTACGTGAACAAAATCCTGAAATCTGAAACTTTATTTCACTTTAGTTTGGAATTTAGTTTTTTTCATATTTACATTTTATTCATTGGAAAGTCTCATATATAAGTGTTTGAATTATTGTTAAAAATTTGATTGCGAAGTTTTGATACCTGATAATATTCTTAATATGGAATCATGGTTTTATCCTTGGCTTTGATTACCTTGCTTTTCAAAACTGAATTTTTTCCTTGTTTCTGAAATTTTTCATAATTTTTTGTTTTAATTTCATTTTGTGATAGTCCCAATAATACACTAAATTTGAATCTTGGATCATTGCTCTTCACGTTTTAAATGCATTTAATTTTCTTTTAAAAAAAAAACAAGCTGAGGAAATTACATATTCATTATTTGGCATCCTCTAGTCATTTTAGATTTTTAAACATTAATCTTAATGGTTAAAGTGATCCCATTTTGAAATGATGTATTGTTTAGAACCTGAGTGAAATTCTTTAGTAAGAACTATGTGCTCAGAGGGGTCCTCAGGTGCACTGAGGCACTAAAAAGCTAGTTTTCACTCACACATAGACCTTTTTATCATCAGGATGAGGTAGTGGTCATATTTTAATTAAAATGTCAGAACAAATACTGTTGGAGTTATTGAAAATGAATCACCAGATAAAGTGAGCACTGGGCCATGGCAGGTCAAAGAGGCAAAGTCACCTGGAGAAGAGAGCTCAATTCATTTTCCTGCCTAAATGAGAAAGAACTTTATGAGCAATATCAACTTTTAGTGCATTAAAGCACATTCTTCTCTGTAGCAAAAGCACCTATTTTCACAGATTAGTGGCTTTTATTATTATGTTTTAATTATTTAATAGTAATAAGAAATCTTATGCTTTAGAGCATTGTAAATAGTTTTTTTATTTTTTTAATTTAATTTTATTTTGTTAGTCACCATACAATACATCATTAGTTTTTGATGTAGTGATCATGATTCATTGTTTTCGTATAACACCCAGTGCTCCATTCAATATATGCCCTCCTTAATACCCATCACCAGGCTAACCCATTCCCCCACCCCCCTCCCCTCTAAAACCCTCAGTTTGTTTCTCGGAGTCCATAGTCTCTCATGGTTCACCTCCCCCTCCGATTCCCCCCCTTCATTTTTCCCTTCCTTCTCCTAATGTTTGTTTTAAAATGTGTGCCAAAGGAATAACATCACTTGAGCTTATTTTTTCTTTTACAGTTCTACATTCTGTTTAGTGCTGCACTTCATAAGCCTTTGTGAAAGTCAGCCTAGTTACCTTGCAAAGAAGTTTATTTATTGTAAAAGATCATGTTCTCTTCTCAAATACAGTACTTCTTTGCTGGTGTATCTAAGAAATTTCAGTAGGTTTGTGAATGGTATTCCCTCTATTCCTTCTACTTACTTTTTCACATTTAAGGTATCAGCTGGAGCTCTTGACATACGCTGTCTTAAGATGCAGTTGTACCAATACTTCCAAGAGCCCTACCTCCCAGCCTCCTTTAAGAACATCAAAGATCTCTAAACCCCCAGCCTCCTTTAAGAACATCAGAGATCTCTAAACCCTTCCCTATTTCCTTGTCCAAAGAAATTTCAGCTGTTACTATGTCTAATCAACCTGATTGCATAGGTAAGAAAATTAGGTGATTGCTCACCATTCATACCAGTCTGGATTAGTTCTTCCAGACTTCAGAATATCCTTCAAAGGACTGAGTGAGCAATGGTATAACTATCCTAAATGGTTTCTTATTTTACCCAGGAAGTTGAGATTTTCTATATGAATTGAAACAAGAATTTCGTTAGTACTATATATTGAAATGTCTACAGTGTAGTATCATTACTGCACCATGTTCTCTTTTTCCCTTGATTGTGCATGGCATGTGGAATTATCTCATCCCATCTCACTCATGTCCTATCTCAAAATACAAAACTACCTAAAAACAAAAATTACTCTTACAGGTGTTATTTTGAGGTTCGTGGCTGATAAGGATGTTAGGTAATTGTAGGGCTCAGAAGTCAAATGCCTTATCTTAATTCCTTTTTGTATTTGTTGTATCCAGAGTAGGTCACAGCTGTGACAATCTCTTACACTCTTGTCCTCATACTGCTCTGCTATGTTGCTAAAATAGTCTCTTCCTAAATATGGCATGTAACTGTAGACCATTTATTGCTTGTATTTGGTATGACATTGTTGATTTTTTTTTCTGCCTACCTTATTTTGTACTTATCTCAGTTTAATTTGCCTAAGTTCTTATTCTAAATTACCTTTTACTTGTTCAGTCCTTTACATTATCTAACTGATGAAATGAGCTATTACAGAAAACCAGTTCTACTCCTGGTTAGGTGATGTATTCCTAGCCAAACCTCAGCAGCTTTAATATTTTTTTGACAACTGTGTAGTTCACAACTGCATGTTATTTTTTCAACTATCTCTCTGCCTTCCAGCTGACCTCAAAGAAAGATGAAGCAATTATATGTCTTCTTGAGGGTTTTAAGGTCAAAGCCTGATAACTCCCTTCTATCTAGAGCATTTATCTTCAGCCTATGTCAACTTTTCATCTCTCTCATGGTTCCTTCTCAATGCTTCAACCTCTATGAAATTTCTTTCCTATAGTCTATTGGATTATTCATTTTTCCCAACTTCTTTTGAGTGAAAGCCCCCCTTTGAGCTGGAACTTTCATGAAATACAAGATAAACTCTCTTAATGTATGCTTAGAAATGGACTGGGCAATATTAAAGGAATTCCAGACCTTAGCCCACTTTTCTTTCTGCAGTGCTCCTGGAGTCTGATGTTGCAAATCACAGGCGATATGTTTAATTGTCTTCCCATAAAATTTAGTGAAACTAAACTGAAAATCAGTAAATTTACTAAGAGCCATATAGTTTTAGCTGTGAAATATGAGTTCCTTAAGTTCCTTTATTTTGTCAGTAAATAGGTTTCACCATCTGTCATGTATTTACATGAAGTTAGTGATATCTTAGACTCAATAGATGTTAGCATTAGGAAGGGACATCATAAGGAATCACTTCTTCCATTCAGAGTTTCTTCATCCTGTCACACTAATAATTATGGATTATTCAAAATGAACTAGAAAAATAACATATTTGGTATTCTTGTAGTGAGGATATTTTATTTATTTATTTATTTTTAAAGATTTTATTTATTTATTTATTAGAGAGTGAGTGAGAGAGAAACAGCATGAGAGGGGAGAGGGTCAGAGGGAGAAGCAGGCTCCCCGCTGAGCCGGGAGCCCGATGTGGGACTCGATCCCAGGACTCCGGGATCATGACCCAAGCCGAAAGCAGTCGCTTAACCAACTGAGCCACCCAGGCACCCGGAGATATTTTAAATATAACAAAATCGTGTTTATCCTGAATTGGGGAATTGGGCATTCTTATTAATTGAATACTGCAATTAGCTGTGAATTTCACTACATTAATTACCAATTTAACAATAAGAGCTAATTAACTAGATAATTAAACGTTTTGTATTTTCTTTATGATTCACAAGGTACCCCATGGTCTTGGGTAATCTTATATACATCTATTGTTATCACTGTACAGAATTTGAATTTTTGTTCAGATTCAGGCTAAAGAAAATTCTGTAGTCATTATTAACAGCAATATTTTGTGTTTTCAAGCAAAGAAAATTTATAACACTTCTGAGGAAGAGTGGCAAGGAAATAATTATTAAGATAGCAAAGAATAGGTTTTAGGTATTAATAAGGTAGAACCTTTTAATAAGCACATCATACTTGATTATACCTGAAAACAGGATGAAAATCAATATAGAAATTTTTCATTGAATGTCTGTTTTGTGTTAGGCCCTCTGTATTAGGGAACATGAAAAATCAGGAGACTAAGGACTAACTCTGCTTTATCTGTGCATCTCTGTCTCCTAGCCCAAGCCTAACACACATAATAGATGCTTACTGTTAAATGAGAGAGTATGTGCTAAAACAACTTTAAGTCTCACAACCTTATTTTTGTTGTTGGTTGCCATTACTTTTATAATCTAGTAGGACAAAGTGTTAGTGATGGTATCAATGTGTTAATCCTTTATATACTATTTTTAATAACTGCTTTATTGAGATATAATCCATGGTACTATACAGTTCACCCACCTAAAGTGTAAAATTCAATGTTTTTTAATATATTCACCAAATGGTTCAAACATCACCACAGTCAATTCTAGAATATTTCCATCACCCAAAATAGAAACCCCATGCCTGTTAGCAGTCATCCCTCACTTACCCCAATTCCCCCAGCCCTAAGTAACCACTAATCTACTTCCTGTCTCTATAGATGTCTTCTGGACATCTCATAATCCTGTATAGATCATTGACTTAATAATTTTTTCAAGTTAGTTTGTTTATGTGAAACATAAAAAAATTTATCTTCTTCAGTGGCATAATTTAAGGATGAATGTGTTCAGAAATGCTTTGATACTACTGTGGAGAAACAACAGAAATTCAAGAGAACACAATTGGAGTTACATCTAAGTAACTTACTAGTAGTCAAAATAATTTTTAAAATCTAACTTGTCTTAGGTTGAAAAGCCATCATTGCTTGAAATATATACATGTATTAGAGCGTGTGGATAAAGATTTACTATTTTTTACATACAAAGCTCTGATTTACTACACTATATAGTCATGGCTTTGTTAGTAATTGGCTACATATTGTATTAATTGACAGGCTTATTGTGCTATAGATGTAAGTAAAATGTATGTCTACATTTAGAAAATGAAGAAGTTGAAAAACCAAGACTTCTGTGGGCTCTTTACTTCAATATGAGAGATTCTTCAGATGTCAGCAGGAACTCTTATAATGATTTACCATCCAACGTTTATGTCTGCTCTGGCCCAGACTGTGGTTTAGGAAATGATAATGCAGTCAAACAGGTAAGCTGTTTGTGTTTCTCATTTTGTGTTAAAAAGTTGGTGTGGTTGGGAAAGTGAATTGTTTTTTTCCTCTGGGATGTGGGAAAAAAGACTAGAAAAGTGTCTCTGTCATTTAACACCATCTCTGTAACTTGCCCCCAAACTTTTTCCTATAAATGACCAAACTTCTTTAAATATACTTTAAATATAGTATCCAGTATTTTCACATTCTGGACTATAATGATGAATTTGCAAGAGAGCATTTATGAGTTCCATTGTGGGAATAAGGATGGAAGACATTAGAAATACATATTCTGAAAAATTAAAGTTAGGCCAGTTTTCTAAAGAAATATTGCTTCTTTTTAATTTTATTTTATTTTGTTAGTCACCATACAGTACATCATTAGTTTTTGATGTAGTGATCCACAGTTTGTTTTCGTATAACACCCAGTGCTCCATGAAGTACATGCCCTCCTTCTAATTTAAACTGTAGGCCTATTGTTTTATTATTTTGAAATCACTAACCATTTTTCTTTGTTACCCTCTGAGTCATTTTAAAAGGAGTGTAACTAAGTAACTAATCACATACAAAATATAATTTTTAAATGATCTTAAAACATTTTATTTTGGAAAAGAACATGTAACTTACAGTTTTTCAGAGTTAACATGATTCCTTTAATGTTTTGACACAAGCTGGTGTCCCAAAAGTTACTGTCATAGCTGCTGAGGAATATGTTAAATCAAGGTGGAATTTTGTGACAGCACTTCTGGGCAGGGCTATGAACTGGTACAGCACAAGCCAACACAAGCTGACAAAAGTGAACTATGATTCCATTCAGATGAAGATCCATTTGTATATATAAATACACTTCTTTGTACCTGACAGGAAGAGAAGAACATAAAATATATTTTTTTGAGGCACAAGTCTAAACTTTTCACAGATACAGTTGGCATATCTGTCTATTGAATCAGTAAGTGAATAATTTAACATTAAGACCACAGATGGAAGTTTCAATCCAACTAGTGGCAGGGATCTCATAGGAGCAAATGGCCTCATTGACCCTTTAATTTTTAATCATAGTAACAAGGCCATGACCCCATGTATCTATAGTTTTTTTTGCCTCATTCTTTGTTTCTCTCTTCAGAGTCTAGTGGTGATCCTTGATAATCCTATTCAATCAGTGATATCAAAAGTGGGAGGTCATCCATCATTCATTCTATTAGTTTAATAGGAACCTGAGATGGTTCAAGTTCCACATTTATGGCTTAAAATGACCAAGGCATTTTTGCTTTGATGTTCCATTTTTTCCCAAGCAGAATCGCCAACATGTTTTCAGGCAGATAGCTTAGGTCATTTTTTAAAAAAGATTTATTTATTAATTTTAGAGAGCGTGTGTGCAGAGGGGCAGAGAGAGAGGGAGAGAAGCAGACTCCCCACTGAGCACAGAGCCTGATGCAGGGCTCCATCTCCTGACTCTGAGATCATGACCTGAGCTGAAATCAAGAGTAGGATGCTTAACTGACTGAGCCACCCAGGCGCCCCTAGCTTAGGTCATTTTTATTCCTGAGTGGACTGTAATGTTTTTTAACCAAAATGGGAAGGCTTTTTACATAAGGACTTACTATACAAATGCTAATGTGATCTTAACAACCAGCTAGAATATTATAATTAAAGGATAATTTTGTTATGAGGTAATTTGCTTCCCAAGAAGGTAGATTTCAGTGTTATCCTAGTATAAAACAATAATAATGCTACTTTTGGTACTAATTATATCCTAGTAAATGTGAGTAGTTTTAAATTGTTATATAGCTTTAAACCTCACATCAGTTTGGGGAGAAATAATACCTATTTTGAAGGGCATCAGTAATAATATTTACAAATAGCCAGTGTATTTAAATAAACTTGTGTTCTAATTCCAGTATTTCATCCTATGTTCAGCCTAGTCACTAATTGATAACTTCTGTTTTCCAAATGGTCTATAAAAGCTCTTAGAGCATCACCTAGGCTTTGTCTATGTAGTAAACATAAGCACCTGCAGACTTCTTTTTTTTTCACAAATGCTTTATTTTACCAGTTAGCAAGTTTGCAGCTGCTTTTCCTATTTGTAAATGTATAGATGTCGCATAGCATAGACCTGTCTCCCTTGTGTTCATATGGAACTATTTATGATTTGAAAACATACTAAAAAATATAAAGTGGCCTGTGTTTAATACAAGTTAAAGTTGTGTGCAGGAGGAGCACACCAAGCCATTATTATCACCACAGTGATGCTAGCATAAGTAGCCTAAGTGAAAATTGTGATTCTGTGACTTGCTGGTATTTATAGTTTGTTACTTCAGTTTTTTCTTTTTTTTCTGAAACTGACATATGATACCTCTTTTCTTAATACAGGTAGTGTCTCATTTACCCACACATACTGATGAACAGACTGGTCTATAGTTCTCTACTCCCAAGATCATTGATAGCTCACTCCTCCTTCAGGAGCCCCCATCTCCTAGGAGGTGCCACTACCACAAGAACAAGAATAATTATATAGTAATGTACTCTTTGTATTATATTTCAGATGTAAAATGGTTTAAATTGGCTGATGTGGGCAGCCTAACCACCATTTAGAATGTTGTCTTTATGGCATATTAGCAATTTGTTTATGACTTTTGGTACAGAATTTGTAAATTGAAGACTAGTTTTATAGATCATATGACCTATCAAGTTGCTCACATATTGCAGTATCGTTCACTTTCTCATGCCATTGAGGGAGAGGGAAATTTTAGGTGTCACATTTTCTAAAGCTACCATTCACTGAGCATTTTCTGTGTACCAGACAATATCCTAAGCATCACATGTATATTATTTCATTTGGTCCTCAGAACCCTATGAAGTAAGTATCTGTGACATGCCCATTTTACAGATGAGGAAACTAAGACCCAAAGGGGCTAAATAACTTGTCCAAAGATCACAGATCTGGTAAATTTGTGAGCCAGAACTTTAACTCAGGTCTGTTGGACCCCAGTGCTTGTACATTCATCTACTGTGCTGTGCTACTTTCATCTTGTTAATGTGGATACATCCTAAATATATTAAACTGCTAGACTGACAAAATATTTTTGTTTTGTTTTGTCTAGATGTATGTTAAATACACATGGGAATGTTTTTAGTAACTCAGTGTGTCCTCTCTATACTTCCCAATATGAAGAAACCAAGTCACAATATAATTATGCCTTTTTAACTTTTTTAACTACATGAAACTCTCTACTCTTTAAGCTAGATTTTGGCTTAAAAGGGCAAGAAGGATTGGGGTGCCTGGGTGGTTCTTTTGGTTGAGCATCTGACTCTTGATTTCAGCTCAGGTCATGAGCTCAGAATCATGCTCCATGCTGAGCATGAAGCCTGCTTGTGATTCTCTCCCTCCCACTCTACCCCTCCCCACTCATGTTTTCTCTCTCTCTAAAAAAGGTCGGGGGTGGGGCAAAAAGGATTAAAAGTTAATAACGCCTCTGAACTAACCTCTACTTATGACAGCTCTCACAATTGAGGCTTAGTTGACAAATGAAATACAGCAGACCAAGAAGTATTAGATAGACCTTCCAGAGCATGGCAGTTGACCCTAAAAGGTTCCAGCAGTAAGAGAAAGGAGATGGGAAGGATTTTGAAGGCTGGCTGTAGGAAATTGGCATCAGTGAGGGCCAATGGCAGATGGGCTAATGGTGAGAGTTCCACAAGCAGGTAGAAAACAAATAAGGGTGGTGCAGCAGCCTGCAATTGGTTAGCAGTCCTAGGAGACAGATTATGACAAGGATATATGGAAACAGAGTGTGGAATCAGCCACAGGGACTGAGGTCCAGAGGAAAATGTATCCTACAGGTAGGTAACAAAAGGGAGAGAAGGTGTGAGACACAGAGGAACTGGAATAGAAGTAAAGTAGTAATAATAATTATTATATTTATGTTCAACATTTCTACAATATACAGTTTTAAAAGTTCTTTAGTTCATTTTTTAAAAAATGTATATTGGAATACTACTCCACACCAGGAATAAGGATCCAGAGTTGATTCCTTCAGTCCTTGTCATCCCTGAAGGAATCACTGGCTAGTAAAGGAGAAGAACATGTAAACAAATGACAGTGCAGTACAGTATATGCAATAATAGAATAATATACAAAGTTCAAAAATAATACAGAGGAGCCATGAGCTCTATTTAGGAGTCAAAGAACTTTGCAGAGAGGAAGATAAAAGATGAGTAGCAATTCCCCATACAAATGGAAGATAATTGAAACATTCCAGCATCTGCACCAATCCATGATAGAAACATGACATGTTTAAGAAAGTGCACATAAGTAGGTATTACTGAAGCAAAAAGTCTGAAAGATGAAGATGGGATGGAATAAATGGTAAGACTAGAGAAATAGGCCTGTAGGGTTTTGTATGCCATAGCAAAGATCTTGGATTTTTATCCTTTTAAGAAATGGGGAGTCATTGAAGAGTTTTAAGCCAGAAAGTGGCATAACCAGAATTTCATTTCCATAGACCCCTTCTGAAGGCAGCATGGAAATGGATTACATGGGGGAACCCTAGAGGCGAGGTGACCAGTTCAGAGATGTTGCAGTTACCTAAGGGAAAGATGATGTATGCCTATAGTATCTCTAGGGAAGGAAAAAAAAAAATGGAGTCAAGAACTAAGATAAGATTGTCAGGATTTGGCCCTTGATTGCATGCAGAGAGTGAAAGGAAATAAGAGGGAGGGAGAACTTCTATAGGCAGACAAGGTTGAGATAAAAGACAAAAAGAGGAACTAAAGGATGAGATAGAGGCTCTGACCTCAGTCCTCCTGCTTCTAAGAGCTAAGTTTCTCCAGCAAAGACCTGTGGTGAGTTCCTGGGGTGGAGAGTAAAGTAGGCATCTCAAATATTTAGTTTCAAAATAGTCACAGTAAAATGGCATGTCCAAAAAATATACCCTTTATACTGAAGAGGGAAAGTATTTTTCTCTGTCCCTTCTTTCAACTTCACATCAAAGCTCAAAAG